AAAATGAGGTGACCTGTATATGCTAACCAGCATCTCGAGAAGATGAATTCGGTTTAAGTGTCAAAAGATGGGCAGAAGGGAGAAGACGATTAGAAATGGGATAGCAGGGCCTTCAAAGAAAATGTACTTTGTGTGGTGAAACAAAATACAGTATGTGGTGAGAGAACGTGAAAAAGGAATGGAAAAACAAAAGACTGTTCAATAATTTAATAAAATATATTAGTTTTTTGTTGCTGCTGCAAAAATCAACTGAAATTTTGTGGCATAAAGCAACATAAATGTATTATAGCTTTGGAGATCAGAGCTCAAAATAGTTCTCACTGGCTGAAATCCAGATGTCTGCAGGGCCGTGTTCCTGTGCGGAGTCTCAAAGAAAGGATCGATTCTCATCTTTTCCAGCTCCCACAGGTTGCTTGCATGTGGCGCCTTTTTCCATCTTTGAAATCTTCAGTGTGGCTTCTTCAAATCTCACTTTGAGGCTCACCCTCCTGCTTTCTTTCTTCCCCTACAAGGGCCTTGTGGATACTACACCCCACACACATGATTCCGAATCATCTTCCCACCTCCAGATCCTTAACTTCATTGAATCTGCCATTGCCTTTTGCCATTTAAGGTAACATATTCAGAGGTTCCCAGGATTAGGACGGGGAGGTCTCTGGTGACAGTACTTTGCCTACCACATGGAATAGTGTCAGATTTTGATGACCACATAGCATTTGGAAGAGAGGTTAAACAGCCTGGATTAATATCAATCTTCCTTTTTTTAGTTGCTCATCTGTGAAATGAGTGAAGGAGGGAGTAAGGTTCCCTTTCGAGCCTAACATTTTCTGACCGGAATGTTACTTCCAAGAAGACGGGTGTTTTCTCTGTGTTGTTCACCACTGTGCTCATTACCTGCAGCACAGCCTGCTACATAATAGGCGCTCAGTAACTATCAGTTGGATAAAATATGTATTGCAAAATACATCAATGAATGAAGGAGAAGAGTGGTGGCAAGAATTCTCCAGTGCCTCCTTGTTAAATTCTAGCTGTCTTTAAGAAATATAGAATTTTAGCTCTGCTTAGGTTATCTAGAATCTCCTCCTCGTGATGGAGGCACTCCGCAGCTGGCGGGGAGGGAGAGCTGAGGTTTGCAGAGTCTACTCCTTTTCTCCTGTGCTTTCTGTCTCCATGCTGAGCATCCCCTAGAAGGGGGAGCAGTGTGTTCAGATTTTGCATGGCCTCGGTAAATGTCTAGGGCAGCTGCTGATTGAAGAAGATCACTCCAGCAATGATCAGTTGCCCCTGGAGCAGCCAGCTGTCACATTCCACACTGCTCACCCAGCAAGAGTCAAGTCTTGCCCTTTACATTCCTAAAAGAACACTCAACCCCATGAGGACATACTATCTGTTTCCACTGTGGAAAGTGCCAGCAAAATACAGAACAGAGAGGCTTCTTTATGCTTAAAAAATAGCAGTGGGCACCTGTATTTGAAGCTATAGGTAGCCAGAAGGCAGGCAGCAATGAGTGAGCCTTCCAACAGCGACCTTTTCAAGGGAGCACTAATCACTTGGCAAGCCTGATACATATTTGCATTAAAAACTGCCTTTGAGAACTGACATTTAAAAATATATAGTTAACAGGGACATAAAAAGTGAACTAATTTGTTGAAGGAACAAATTGATGTCAGAAGAGAAGGCTTTATGCCCGCATAAGGAGGGCAGGAGGTGCTAGTTTCGTTCAGCTTCCCAGTTCGGAGAATTTGGCTCTTTGTGACCTTACACAAACATTATACGTTTTATTTTTAATCTGTTTTTTTAAATCAGTGGTGTTTGTAAGATGTTATCATCTGGACACAGAGGCACATATACTTTTTTTATATTTTTCTGGTCACATAGTCTTTCTTTAATACTGGAGGAAAAAAATTAAATATGGTTGAGTCTCATATCTGGGTTCAACATTCATGGATTCAGCCAACTGCTAAATAAAAATATTTTGGAAAATCACATCTATAAATAACACATACTATTTTTCTTGTTATTATCCCCTAAACAAAATGTTATTTCAACTATTTATAATTTCAACTACTTACATTTACAATGTATTAGGTGTTATAAGTAACCTAAAGATGAATTAAAGTATACGAGAGAATGTGTATAGGTCACATGCAAATACTACATCATTTTATTTATGTAACTTGAGCATTCTCAGATTTTAGTTTGGGGGTAACTAGAACTGATTCCCTGTAAACACTGCGGGAATATCTGCTTAGCAAAACATCCGGTGTTCAGGGTATAAGACTATGTTTTTGAAGTCCATCAACTAGACCCCTAAAGACGTAGTAGATGCAGAATATCTTCCATCCCCCAGTCAAGTAGAAGACAAAATTGCACAAAAACAATTGTTAAAATATACAAATGAGATAAAGAATAGGAAAAATCACAGGTGCCAGAAATCCAAAGGAGAATCTAAGGTAACAAAAGGAAGTGAGCACAAGCCAAATGGACTCACAGTGCCTGAGAGTGAGCGTGGTGGAAACAATGCCTCAGTGTAACCATCTGTAGAGTAGGGACTGAGTCCAAGCTGCAGAGGAGAGACAGGGAGAGCTGAATCCAAACTTCGTGGAAAGTCAAGGTTTGGGAAATCCTGCCCATGCAACTGAGCCTAGCAAAGCTCCACCACCAGCCAGGACAGGCAGCAAGGAAGCTTACCTTCTTCCGCCTGCCGCAGGGAGAGAAGAAAAGACACTTGTGAATCATGAGACCGGAGCCTCTGCCACAAACAGGCGAGGAGTTCAGGTTTCCACCACCAGTGTAGTACAGAGACAGACAGGGAATTGTTGGGTGTGGATCCTCCATGACACAAGGAACAGGAGATTCTGGAAAACAGATTCTCCTGAGGGTGAACTTACAGTCACAGAAGTACACCCAAAGCAATGAAACAGAACAGGTACTCAATTTTTATGAGTTTGTAAAAAGAATCAAAAGGAATTCTAGAAATGAAAATCCAGCTACTGAACCACATGAACCGTGAGTGAAAATTGTGGATAATGGCATACACTGTAGAGAGGCTTTGAGGACAGTATTTTTTTTTTAACCAGGGAGAAAAATTTTCAGCCCACGGATACAAGTAATGCTTACCTTATAAACATTCCTGAATGTACAATTTCAGCTGCAACTGGGATGTAGGTTTCAGTAATGGTACGCCTTGGGGACTACATGTCAACTTTGAACTCATTTTCAACCACTTCACATAACCAACAGTATCATTTCAACTAGTCCTGATTTCAGAAAAATAGGTTGTACAACTGATCTTATTTAGACTTTTTAAGACTTAAAAGAAACTCCCACCTTACTGTAAATTTATGGTAGCCCTAAAGTGTTAATATAGTTGGTCACTTAAAAAGCACCTTGTGTCTCATCTCTGTGGTTCTGAGTGAGCGTGTTATGATTTGTAAGAAGGCCTTCTTTCCCACCAGCACTTCTAATAACCTATGGGCACCTGTGTCATCCTGCTATGCCTCCAATGCGTTGTGTTTCACGTGTGCTTGGTTCTGAACTCCTCCAGGGTTGCCTTTTCCTTGGTTTTTATCTCTCTGTGATGCTTGATAGACACTTCAGCATTTGTTGAGTATATGAATGAATGTGCACTTAAAATAACTGAGTTAGAGGTGTATTGTTCTGCATTGAACCCAGCGGTCCTCAACAGTTACATTTTCAGTGAACATGCCCAGCCTCCATCCAGATGTGTTTGATTTTAGGCTTTCCTAGACATTTGTCTTTGAGGCTGGAGCATCTAGAAATCTATCAGTTATTTTCAAGAGCTGAAGAGTGCAGAAAGTAAGGGAGAGTTGAATTAAGGGAAATCAAAAGGTTTGGGGTAGATAAGTAATTCTGCTTTTCTTCTTAGCATTTATTGAGAGAGAGAGAGATTGATTTGAGAAGAGTCAAAAACTACATGAGACAACAATGTATCCTGTTTCCTTCCCTGTTCTGCTGTTCTAAAGAGGAATTTTATGCTGTTTTACTAAAGCTAAGGGCCAAGAGTCAGCTGAGAAAGCACAAATGCACCTTACACAGAACAAAGGACTGATACTCCTACAGTGTGCAAGGGCCTTTCCCTTACTCCACTGACACTAAATTGCAGCAGAGAAAAAGAGGAGAATTTCTAAGTAGCACTGAGGAAGTGGAGATAAGTTGAAGGGCTTTATAAAAATAAGGTAATGGCTCAAACTGAAGCTGGGAATTGACAGGTAAATAAAAAAAAAAATACTTCCAAACAGAAAGATGAAAGTATCCTTAAAGTCTTGGTAAATCATTTGAGAAACCTTAAGACATATTGGGAGTTTAGCTTAGTCATCTTAAGGTAGTTTTTCTTTCAAATGATTTCTAATCTATTTGAAATAAGACTCAACGTGTTAATTCCTGTCTTGAGTTTCAATAAGCTTTTTCCCAAAAAATAAATCTTTTGAAGGTCGATTTTCAAAAGCAGACATTTCAAAAGAAGTTGGACTGCATCAATGTGTTAGAGATTCTTTGTACCTTAATGATCGCCTGCACTGCTTTTATCATTGGCCACTGGATCCCGTTTCATTTTTGGCAAAAAGGCATTTAGCCTTTTTGAAAAATTTTAATCAAATATACAATGTTCATTTTATTATACATTTTATTTGCAGTGTGAAGAAATCAGTTGCTTACATTTTAAAACTATGGGAAATATTTACTTAAAATGTGATTACTAATTCGTTGTTTCAAACCGTAGAGTGAAATCACAAAATCCAGTATAGTTTGGGCTGCAAGAGTTTAAAAATATTAGTACTCTAATGAGAAAAAAGGAATATATTCAGTGATGTAGAATTTGTACCAGTGCTGAAGACTTTTGGTTTTCTATTTTGTAGCTCCATGTTAGTGTATTTTATAGCACATGAAATGTTCTGTTGTGATCACATTCATTTTAGGAAATTTCTACCACTAATTCCAGTCAAACAAAAAACTTTGTCACTTTTCTCTGCTTGTACCAGGTTGTTGGTGTAGCTCAGGCCATTAACAAGAAATCAGGAAATGGAGGGACGTTCACCGAAAAAGACGAAAAGGTACCAAAACTTGAGTCTGGACTGATGTCAAATAAGAAAGATGTTTTTCTCTTCTTGTACATAGACCTCTGGAATTAGCTGTTGCTAAAGTCGTTGACCATGAAACACACGATGATTGAAAACAATTTGAAATGTCTAAAAGGGTATCCTTAGCTACAGACCGCCTTGGCTTGACTAGCAAAAACCTGAATTATTCATTCAGCAGAAACTCCCCGGCACCCCCCTTACTGTGTGATCCAGGACTGGGTGCATGTTGGAGCCCCATGGAGGGTGACTGACAGCATTTTAACTCTCTCATTTATCTTTCATCACTGCTATGAAGAGGTTCAACCTTGAGTAAAAACCCAGCACTGCTCCAAGTTCAGCACTCAGGTTTGGCTAAGAATTGGAATTGCTTCCTGGTGAAGCCAGTTTCCCAGTGTTTTATAAGCTTTGCGCACAGACGGTGGGGCGCCAAGGTGCGAATTCAGGCTGGATGATGTGAATTCGGCTTCAGAAAGAGCAGCAGTCAGCGTTAACTTTTTTTTTTTACGCTTCTCATCCAACTCTGAAGGAATATATCCTGCACACCACGCTGACTTGCTTTTCCCGCAAGAATGCCTTAAATGTGTTCCTAACTTCATTCTGTCCATAGGTTTTACTTCGTCTCCTGCATCTGTAATTACAGGTCTATCACAGCTCATTGCATGTGTCCTATTCCAAGCCCATTGCTATTTTTGTTGCTCCCCTGAAAATGAGTGGGAGCTTTTAAATTTGGAAGACAACCAAACAAGGCAGAGTTATTTTTGTCTCCGTGCTGTGGGCTGTATTGGCACATGTGTTGGGCCTCAAGTTTTAATTGCTCTAGAGCACAGCAAATTTTTCTTTTTGACTTTATAAAATCTTTTTTTCTTTATAACAAAAACAAAATTTCATAACAAAACAATAAGTGAATAATAGTAGTTAGTATACTGTGTATCATCTTCAAAGTAGTTACTCAGCATACAAGACATAGAAAAGATTCTCTTCCAAAGAAGAAAAAACTAGGTACTAGCACAAAGCTTATTTTCTGTGAACTAAGAAAAACTAATAGTATAAATGAAACAAATTACCATTTATACTAAAACATTTTTGAAACAGCAGCATGAGTAACTTGAATTATTTGAACTGCACACCTAGAAGAGTTAAAGTCATCCTATTAGAAGGATACAGGAATACCCATGTTTACAGCAGCACAATTCGTGGTGGCAGCTAGACCTTGGAGACGGTGTGTATGTCCACCAACAAATGAGTAGATAGAGAAAATGTGGTATTTATACGCAATAGAGTGCTACTCTGCCATAAAGAAAGATAAACTTGAAGCATCTCAATTTGAGAGGTTTGCGTCAGCTCCCAATTTTATGCATAATAAATGTCTACATTTTTGTCTTTTAATGTTTATTTCAACAGTAAATACCTTTAGTGCCTTTTATGTTTTGGACAACATTAGTAGATGATTTTAGAAGCAATTTTTATTTGGCTTGTTGTCTTTTGTTTTCTAGGACTTTGCTGCTTATTTGGCCTTTTGTGGTATTGTTCTTCACAATGCTCAACTCTACGAAACTTCCCTGCTGGAGAACAAAAGAAACCAGGTAAGTATAATACCAAAAAGAGAGAAGAGGTGTCCTTTCTTACCATACTGTTAAATTTTAATCCAAGTAATGGGTGCACAGGGTGAAAAATCAAATATCCCCAGTTTCTAAATATATTAGCAGTTTCTTCCAGTAGTTATGGTTGCTCCTCTTTCCCGCTCCCCGTGCTCGGTTGCTCTGGCACTGTTAGATAATAGTCTTGGACCTGAAAGGTAGGGATTTGTCTTAGACCCTTCCTTACTGTCCATTACCCTGGCCCTACCAGTGTCATTAAATCATTGTTCAAAGTTACTGCATGCGGTGAATACATGAGATTAAATAATACTTTTTAGTTCTTGCTTTGTCCACTGTAGGCTTTACTTTTCATTTCCCATCCCTGTCTTCCTCTTTGTATCTCTTTCCCAGCTACCATGCCATAGCTCTGATTTTCCATTTGGATTTCTTCTTTTTTACCCACACTGATAGCAGATGTATTGTTCTACAACCATGAAGAACTGTTCTTAAGCTTTGCTTATCCAAATTCAAAAGTTACAATTTAAGATAACAGATTAATAATTACTATGACTATATAAATACTATATGTGTTACTTTTGTTGTACAACTTTTAATTTTTCCTTTTTCCCCTATATGCTCGACCTTATGTCCTTCGTGTTCTTCTCTCCCCTGGCTGTCCCTTATATTAGGCCTTAGGCCTCTTCTTCTCTTAGAGATGTCAAATTGGAGTTCTCTACCTTTCTTCTTCCAGCTAAACTGTTACCTATGTCTGCTGCACACATGTCATCACAGAACTTTTTTTCACTGCTTTTTTAGAAAGACGCTTTTATTTTCTCATTCCTTATCACTTTTTCTTGCTCAGTTACTCCTGTCTTTTGTTCAAGCACATTCTTAAATATTTAAGAAACCATACTAATAAGTCAGGTGTGGTGCTGCATACCTGTAATCTCAGCACTCTGGGAAGCTGAGTCAAGAAGATTACAAGATGGAGCCCACCCTGGGAAACTTGGTGTCTTAGTGAGACTCTGTCTATAAAAAATAAGAAAGGACTAGGGATGTAGCTCAGTACAAAGGCCTGGCTTCAGTCCCCCAGTATCATAATGAAGAAGAATAAGGGAAGGAGTGGAAAAGGAGGGGAGAGAGGAAGAGATAATGAGTCTTGCTGACTTTTCTCATTGCTGAGACAAATAGGAGACACCCAGAGTTAAAGCAGGAAAGGTTCATTGGCTCACAGTTTATAGAGGTTTCAGCTCATAGTCAGTTGGCTCCAAGGCAGGGTGTCACAGAGGAGAGGGATTGCACAGGAGAATAGTTCATGGCAGGCAGCAGGCAGCAAAGCAGTGAAGTAGTGAAGCAGAAAGCAACAAGCAGCCCTCTTTCTCTTTCTTACATTCCGTTCAGGCTACCTGCCCTCGGGGTGGGTAGCACTCACATCCTGGATGGAGCGCCTCTAACCCTGGCACTGCACCATGAATCAGTCCCAACATCCCTCACCGTAGATCCAGCCGTCTAGGAAATGCTCCGCCTATGACTGCATCAGGCTTTGGGGGGACATCTAGGTGCAAGCTGAGAGAGGCACAGAAAGAGAGAGACTGACTGATTGAGCATTAGTGAGGCAAACTTTCTCAATCCTTGCAGACGTGAGAATGTCTCTTTTACCATCCTACTACTTTGGCTACTACTTTTCTAAATATTACATTTGTTCTTTATTTTTTATTCATACATGTTAGGAGTATGTGATATTCACATTCATTTTAGGAGTAAGTACATGTGCTGAACACACAGTACCCTGATTCTTTGTATTTCCCTCCCACTCCCCACTCACCTCCCTCTCTTCCTGTCTTCTGCATTTCATTATTATAACTACTAGTTCATGTTTATGACAGGTAAAGATTACACCCATTGAGGGAGGTTGGCACACACACATGATGCATCTCAAATGTTTTCGTGTCCCCTTTCCTCCCTCCCCCAACTCAGACTCTTGGTCCCCTTCCCGTCTGCAAAAGATCTATCTTTCTTTTTTCTTTTGTCAGTCTTTTATTTTGCTCTATATTGGAATTATTCAAGAAAAAAACTAGGGTATTTGAGCTTGTGTGTCTGATTGATTTCACTTAACATTATGTTTTCAAGGTGTATCCATTTTCCTACAGATGTAACGAGCATCCATGTTACTCCAATTCATGACTCTGTAAATATTTTGTTAGTACATTATAGAGGCCTGGGTTTCTAGTATATGTAAATATATAATACATAATGTGTTTTCATATTATGTATAATGCATATTTTACATCTTGTACACTGTGTGTTGTCTGTTTGTAAACTTCTGAAGTGTTTGGCTTTGTTTTCAGAACTTCCTTTCAGAAGGTAACTCTTCTGCTCATCCAGCTGGTACCTGCAATTCAGGTCAGCCCTTTAAGGCTAGAGACTTAAATGAGCCTCCAGTTCTGTGCAATTCTGTTTTCATTTTTTTCTCTTTTCTTTTGTTCTTTTTCTCCTTTTTTGTTTAGAACTCATGCGAACAAGACAGTGGACATTCTGTTGCTCAAACTGCAGAATCCTTTCACTCTTCTGCCCCACTCTTGCCACCTTTTCCAAGTGCTCATTGTACAAACTCAGAGGTGACCACATCGCTCCCTCCTGCACCCGTCACAGGACAGGCTACTTCAGAATCACACCAGGCTCCCGGAGTCCTTCTCTCCTCAGCACTCTGTTCTCATCACCTGGATCTCTGTGTTCTTTGCTCCTGTAACATTTGATCAGAACTTTCAGTGTTCTCCTTTTTCTCCGTTTAGTTCTTTGTTTCCTGAACTATTTCCCCTCTGCCTTTCATCAGATTGATTTCTGATCATCTTTCACATCTCAGTTGGGATGGTATCTCCTGCAGTAAATCTTGCAAAGGAAAATTCTTTCTCCCATCACATAAATAAATGAATGGTTTGTGAGATCAGGAGAAATTCTGTGGCGCTCAGAGTAAAGAGACATTTCAGAAGACACAAAGGGAGCTCTTAAGCTTTACCTTGGGTAGTACTGACTTAGTCTGAAATATTGACAGTGTTGATAAATGTTGATCTCAGAAGTTTGGAGCAACAACAGTAATTGTCTATAATGTACCAGGTACTGTCCAAAATGCTTTATAAATATTAAGTTATTCAATTCTCACTGTTTTCACAGAACTTGCCTTAGGTCACAAACTTAGCAGGAAGGGAAGTCAGGAGTAATGACATTGCTCTGGCTTAACAACCTGTGATTTTAACCACTATGCTAAACATACTCACAGACACCAGGCAATTTTGTTACTAAACAGAAAGAAATTTAATACTAAAGTTGAAACTTGATCATAACTTTCTTCATTACATGAACAGCTTATAACCCTTGCAAATCTTTATAGTGATTGCTTTATTAGTTACAGATAACTTCAAGGTAATTAGCTGTCTATTTTCCTTGTCTAGGTGCTGCTTGACCTTGCTAGCTTAATTTTTGAAGAACAGCAATCATTGGAAGTAATTCTGAAGAAAATAGCTGCTACTATTATTTCCTTTATGCAGGTGCAGAAATGCACCATTTTCATAGTGGATGAAGACTGCTCCGTGAGTACAGAGTATGGCTTTTTAATTTTTAGAGCGACAGAAACTTACATTCCCGGAAGCACTGCTTCAAAGCTTTATTTTCGTCTCAGAACCCTCTCTCAAACCCAGCTGTATAAGGATATTTAAAGTCGGTCAGAGTACAGGCTGCTCTGGTTACACGGAGCTGGGGTGAGTGTGGAAGGTGCTTTTTATGGCCCCTTTCACCCCTGTCCCTCACCACTAAGCAGGTCCCATGGGAAGGATCATGTGAGCTGCATCTGTCAGTGACTACACTGTCTTGAAGGAAAAACTCATCGTCACTACCGTGTGCTAGTTTCACAGTCAGGAATAGTGGTGCCCAGGGTTGGTGTGAACGGGTAGACGTCCACTGTTGAATGGGTTGAACATAATCATTTATTGTTACCCTGAATTATTTAGAACCAGAAAGCATGGCCCAGTAGAGGCTGTTTTTCAAGGTACTTGTGAGTCCTGTATCCTTCACCAACAGTGGGAAGCCATTAGTGTTTAATTGGCTGGTTTCAGTCATTTGTGATGTGAAGAAACATCTCCAAGTGTATGGAGTGAGACGGGGTGTCTCATCCAGAACCGTGTGCATACAAACACGTCATCTGCCTTGCGTTTGCTGTTAGAGTCAGCTCCCTGGCCCAAGGCAGTTTTCCTTTGCACAGATTCTTTCCCTTCTCATCCTGTGAATTGTTGCTTCTGGAATTTTTGATGTGATGATTTTCATTTTCCATTACTCTAAAACGAGTGGCACTAACTACCACTTTTGTATAGATCAGTTAGAATCCAGGAATAATATTGGAACTGATGTGGTCAGGGGAAGTTCAATAATAAAAAAATTTGATAATTTTCATTAAAACTTTTAAATTGGTTTAGATGTTAAGCCTGTAGGACCCATTATCATCTGAATCATATGGTATGAATGTTTATGTCAGAACGGATGTGTTGATTAATAAAAAAATCTTATTAATAGTATATCAAAGTAGAATTCACTGTGATTAAAAAAGATGCTCCACATGTTGTTAAATATTATTTCATATTTTCAATCAGTTATAAAATCCTTAATGTAGAGATGATTACAAGATACCTGCTAGCCTTTTAAAGTTCAGGTCAGCATTCATTAGTGTCTCATGTCAATTTCTCATTTTTGCTCTGTGACCTGTTTTTAGCCTTTAATTTTTGAAAGTTATACACAAAGCACTTCTTTTTAAAACAATTTTAAATATCACTTTAATTAGCATTCAGTGCAAGCTTCTATCAGTTAGCACCTATCGTGGTAGCAAACTTACCAGTGATGTTTTGAACTACAACTCAACAATACTCTCCTGAATATGTTTTCCTTAGTTTTTGACATTTTAAGTTGTTGAGCTTAGAAAAGGAATGAGATGACTTGGTGTTTATTTACATTACAGTTATTTAGAGTTAAAAATACTCAACATGATCAAAAATGAAAATATATACTCAGCTATTCTGTTCACAGTCACGCTGTTATTGCTCTATTTCTTTCCAATTCTTCTTTATTCAGTGTAACTATGCCACCAATGCAAACGGGCGTTTTCCCTCTTCAAGTAATTTCACATGTGTGACTGTGTTACTGAAGACTTCGCCATTTTTTAAACGATCTCATAAAATGTTACTGAATGGTACTTCTCTTTAAGGAGGGATTCTATTCCTGGGACTTAATGACATTCATCAGTGTGTGCTTACAATGCCAAACTTTAGGATTTTAAACAAGTGTAGAGAAATTTTGAAGCTAACCAATGCACTAACACCTGGTGAGGGAAAAAAATGAAATGGTATTCAAACCTTCCTGCAAGTGAAAATCAGAAATCGCATGAATAAATCCTTTAATAATGGGAAGCAGCTTTGAGGATGTTATTAATAAGTACTTGGATTGGTTCATTTGGGAGTAAATATAAATATATTACAAGAATTGGTGCCTTTAGTGAATTTCACAGTGTATGTATATGTGTGTCTGTTTCACTATCAAACTTATATCTCAGTCTATATTGTCATTGTGTTTTCAGGATTCTTTTTCTAGTGTGTTTCATATGGAATGTGAGGAGTTAGAAAAAGAATCTGATACTTTAACAAGGTAAGTTAGTTTATTCTTTATTTGTCTTTATCATGGGTACATTATATTGGCCAGATTGTTATTTCTTTCCCAGTTGGATGTAAAACGTAAGTGATGGGCTATGTTTCCCTCAAACACAAATAATTTTGGTTGTCAAAATAATTTATTTGGTATTAAAAGTCCTAAGGTTTTTCCATGACATTGTCTTCCCTGAGGATTACTCCATGCATTGAAGAGTGTTCTGATGTGTGTAGGACTGAGTGTAATAGTATTGTTGTGAACTAGTTCAATTATATTTTTCCATTTAAATAACTGATCTGTATTATTCACTTTTCTGCTGCTGGGACAATGTACTGAACATACACAATTTAAAGGAGAAAAGGTTTATTTTGGCACATGGTTTCAGAGGTTTCAGTCCATGGTCAGCTGGCTCCAAGGCAGAAATGGTACGGCAGAAGGGCACAGTCAAAAAAAGCTGCTTAATATGGCAGCCAGGAGGCAGGCAGTAAGGAAAGAGTGCCAGAGAAGGAGGGGCCAGGGACTCCCAGGTCCTTCCCTCATGACCCGTTTCCTCCAAATAGGCCCTTTTTCCTATTTGCCTGATCATCTGTGAAACCCTCAATGGGTGAACCTACAGAAGAGATTAGTGCCCTCACAATCAGTCACTTCTTCATGAGTCTCTGTAATTCACAGTCAGGATTAACAGACACAAACCATTACTGGCAACTTTATAGATTTCTTAGTGAACTCATCTGCAAACATAACTAAAATATAGTACTTGTGGATCTTAAGTGAAATCGATCACGATGATAATATATCTAGCACTACACAAACTCACACACTATTCACCATATGAAATAATTCTCAAATAGGTCAAAGTTTGTTCTGATTTAGAATTAGCCATTAAGACTTAACTAATAATAGAAAGAAGCTTATGGTCCTGGTCATAAAATATTTGTTCCCACCATCACTAAATCACATTAGATCTCTGCTGTCATTTAGTTCTTTTCCATGTTTTTGGTTATTTTTAAATTTGTGTTATTTTCTTGCTGATAACTGTTACGCATACACAACATTGTGTATTTATATGATGGAAGATTCAGGTGATAGTGTCCCAATTTTGTATGTGCTACTCTTGGAATAGGTTTAAACTACCAAACGTCCTTTTTCACATTTCTTTTTTTCTTTTCCTCTTCTTAGCAAATATTTAGCATTGTTTGATAAATGATAAGGTATTGTAAGCAATTTAAATCTAAGGAATGTAAATCTGCCAAGATAAACTATCAGGAATTCTTGGGCATAATGTCATATTATTTAGTGTGTGTTTGTGTGCGTGCGTGTGTTACAAAAACTGTTTAACCCCTCATTATTACTACTATATCTAAAAGCCTCCCCTTTGGCTTTTTTTAAAACTTGATATTAAATTTCCAAATTTTTTTTTAAAAGGAGAGGTTTATTTAGCTCACAGTTTGTAAAGGTTTCAGTCCATCATTGGCTGCCTCCAAGGCAGGGAGGCACATGTCTGAGGGGCAACTCAGAGGAGAAACAGTTCATGGCTGCAGAAGACAGCAAAAGCAGCAAGAGAGAGAAGGAGAGTAAAGTTCCAAATTTTTTCACTAGAGTAGACTTAATGTACTGAGTGTTTTAACAACTGGTGTAGTCTTCAGTTAAGTAAGCTCCTTGGTGATGGTGCTTTTAAAATAACCTCTTTTTACATTTACTACAGAACATTCTATCAGATAAATGCCGTGGTCTCTGTAGATAGTCAGTATCTCTGAATCAAGTGGATAAAGACTAATGTTCATGAAGACATAAAAGCCAAATGCAATATTTGAACTTTGTTCAGACTCTAGTAGTTCAAAACAACAATAGTTACCAAAAGCATTTTTATGAACAATTAAAACCCTTACTGTGGACCAGAAACTAGCCGGGAGGAAGTGTCCTTACATTTCTTTGAAATTAGAAAGATAGCAGCATCAGTAGGAGAATGTTCTTATCTTTAGGAGACTTATGCTGAAATCTTTAGGGACAAAGCATTATTGCATTTGCAAGTGACTTTAAAATGGTTTGGCCAAAGGTTAGTAAGTAAATATTTTTTAAAAGTTTAGATAAATACATCTTCATATACATATATAGATAAAGTAAATGTGGAAAAATTTTTAAATGTCAAATCCAGGAGGAGTGTGTTCATTTTACTTTCAGGTTTTTTTTGTTTGTTTGTTTGTTTTGTTTTGTTTTGTTTTGTTTTGTTTTACTTTTTCTGTATATTCAAATAGTTCACCATTTAAAAAAGTGGAAGAAAATGTTTATAATAAAAAGTGAGACACAAAATAAAAGGAAAATCATCCCTAGGTCATATAAATCATAACCGCCTGGGTTTACAGCTGCAAGGACATAATATTTAAGAGCACAGGCTGGTTTTGTCCTGAGCCTTTTCAGTGAGATTGGCCCCAGAGATCCCTGGGAGGGCTGCGGAAAGTGTCTCCTGCTCCAGGCCTGTGGAGGTGCCCTTCTCTTTCCTCTTCCGTCCTTTGTCTTCTCACACTTTCAGTCTTAGTAGACGGAAAAATTACTGACCCAGTGACTTAGAGTTGTTAGTTTAAGTGTGTGTGTTTAAATCAAACCTCATTATTACTAGACTACTATTTTAACAATAAGTGGAGGACCTTTTCTCCTATTAAAAGAATTTCTGAAGTAACAAAAGTGTGGGCATGTAAGTTGGAGGAGTTCATTGGACTCAGAAGATAGATCTGACTTCATCCTTCCGTGCTGACTTGGGTGAGGGGTGCAGAGTCAAGGCGGATAAACTGTGGTCTCTCTTTCCAGAGATCTCTCTGCTCCCCTGGAGCTTGGGGTTCATTTGACCACAAGTGCATAGCTGACCTATTTCCCTCTTGGTCTTGCTGGCAGTGAACTGGAAGCAGCATCTCACCTCCATCCCTGTTCCTCGTGAGCCTCTCGTCACTCCGTGTTCTGGCATACTTGACATTGCTTTGCTTAGTACTGAATCATTTTGAATGTGTGTAACTGTGTGCATGTGGTGGAGCTGTGGCCACTCCTTGTCAAGTATTACTCATCTCAGTTGTGAAGTCTCTTCTTCGTAGCAGAAACAAAATAGATTATCTTGACTTGATGATAGTATAAATAACAACTCTTGCTTTTAAAGAAATATTTCACAACATTTCTAGATAAAAGATGTAAATACAGAGTATTTGAATATTTTACTTTTGGGACTGTATAAGTTATGTGTAACTATGCATATAAAATGATGTAAATATACAAAAGATAGAAATATGTAAATATACCAAATGCACAAATATACATCTACCTATATTTATTTATCTCCATTGGGCAACAGGAAAATTGGCATGATGGTGCTTATTAAAAGTATAAAATGATTAATCATCTATATTTGCCTTTCAATATTTATGCAGCAGTTCTATACCTATGTGATTGTATTTTCTGCATTGGCATTTTGATTTTTATTCTAGTGATAGCTGACCACATCAAGAGACCTAGTATAATAGCGACCTCTACTGGGGAATGTGTATTTTTCAAAAAAACAAAAATAAAATCTCGGTACACAATTTTTCTCTGCAACCACTGACCCCCGAGACTTAAAATAGCTAGCTTGAGTGTATATTTTAATCAAAATTTAATATCACTAGATTATCTTCTAGTAATGACTGTTCTTTCTTTGTAAATACAGTGAAAGGTATTTTCCCATTTACAGTATGTTCATTACTCCAAGACAATCTTAGTATAAAGATATTTTTATAAGGTAACTACCTCAGTATGATAACCTCAAAAGAGACTAAATTTACTGATTTATTAACTGATTTTATAGTAATAAAATTCATTCAATATTAATGGCTTATGCCAGCTAAATATTTTAAAGTCAGCCTTTAATCTACTGATATAGTAAAAGGCCTCATAGTTATTTAATATTTTGTTAAAATTTAATTTAATCTTTTTTTAATTGGTAATAAAAACTAGATGTCAGGCTAATTTTATAACTGATCCAGAACCAGTGTTTAGTAACCTCAACATTTTGAAAAAGGACTAAATGGATACTGACACTTAGTGTTCACTAGTACACCATTGTATTTCTAAAATTGATTATGGAATGAATTTAACACTCTCCAATTCTTTTTACTAAACACTTTTCAAGATGAGTTGCTAGGTAATTTCATGCTAGTAGTTAGTAAGTCATTCTTTTTAGGCAGTTATTTATAAGTTGGAAATCATGATTCTTGAGAGTTTTCCAACCAATCCACTATTGTTTCTAACTTAAAGTAATATATTGATCATAGTTTTGAGCTGTTAAGTGTAAAACTAAAAGATAGTCAAGGTAATATTGTACATCCTTACTAGAATCATGTCATTAATGGCAGGAAACGTAATAAGCCTTGCGGGTAGGGGTGCCCAGGAATTCCCAAAGGAAGGCACATTTCTGGGTGGCAGGAAGTTTTAGTTTCTGTGGCGCAGTTCAGAGAGCCACCCAATTAGAAGGAAGAAGTGAAGCTGATACACCTCATATGCGCTCCTTCTTCTGAAAAATAGATAGAGTTGTACCATTCCATACTAATTAACTTTGTGTTCTTTATCAAAACACATTTAGCACATTTTCATCATAAAGTGACAGATACATGGACTTAATCCTTTAGCTCTCACTATATTAAAAAGCTTTTGTGCAGCAAAAGAAACCACAGAGTAAAGAGACAGCTCACAGCATGGGAAAAAATTTTTGCCAGCTGTTCCTCAGACAAAGAACTAATGCCTAGAATATATAAAGAACTAAAAAAAGAAAATCAGACTCCCCCAAATGTAAAGACCCAATTTAAAAATGGGCATCTGAAATGAGTAGACACTTTTCAGATGAAGAAGTACAAACAGCAAATAAATATATGAAATATGTTCAGCATCATCGGTCATTTCAGAGATGCAAATTAAAACCACACTGAGATTCTGTCTTACCCCAGAAAAAATGGCTGTCATCAAGAAATCAACTGATAACAAATGCTGATGGGGCTGTGAGGTGCAAGGTCCCTTCTCCACTGTTGGTAGGAGTATAAATTTGTACAACCACTATGGATATCAGTATGGAGATTCCTCAAAAAAGCTTAAAAAAGAAAGGTCATTGAATAGAAATTAGACTGGTTGTATTTAAATCATATACCACCACCTACTAGCTATAGATCTTTGTATAATAATTTAACCCCCGGAAGGCTGTTTCCTCATCTGTAATCATGGAATTGTAGTAATGATTGAATGAACCTAGTGCATATAAAATGCTTCAGAAAATTTCTCATTAAGCATTAGTTATTATTTCTGTGTTCCTAATATATTTTACAGTATTTGGCCTGAAATTGTTCCTCTTTGCACTGCTTCTTTCTAAGTTCCCCGTCCTTAATTCCTATACTACATCATTGATACTCACATGCAGAAAACTTAGATGTCTGACTTGACCCAGGTTTTCCAAGAGGCAAATGCCAAGACTGGTTTAATTGTGCAGAAATTGAGCAAGAGAAATACCCTGTGAGAGTGGAGGTGGGAACCATCCAGGAGAGAACCGGAGAGCCATCAGCCCGGTGTGACAGTCTGACCCATACTACAGAGGACTAGCGGAGAGGTTGTGTACAAGTGTCTCAGATGGCTGAGAATTCTAAGGAAAGTTTAGCAAGGCTGTTAGAAGGTCTTCTGGCCAAAATTTTCTGTCGATGGAGTCCTAGGTCCCCCAGGAATAGCACTACCTTGGTGCTTCTGGTGTTTTCCCCCTTTGTAGGAGCAGCCTAGGAGGTGTGGCCTCCGCACGCCTGCTGCTGGGCTCCAAGGCACAGCAGGCCGAGACTTTGCTCAGTTATGCTTCCTGCAGTTGGAGATCTGAGAGGCTGCATCCTCAAGGCCATTGTAATATTCCCGTTATTTAAAAGATGACATCTGTATTCATTGTATTACACTGTCAAAATCTTCCACAGTCTTTCTCAACCTAGCATTTTCAACATGAAGTCATCATTTTATTATTCTGGACACAGTCTGTAACTGTTTAGTGTTTTCCAAATATGCATAAGACTCTTCCACCTCAACAATGTGTTTTATATTGGTTTTATGCTTCTGCCTGTTTTTTCCGCCCTCCCTTTCATTGGTGATGTTTTTCTTTCCTTTCTAAGACTCAGCCAGCCATTCCCACATTTTTGCAATGCCATCTCTTCCCTAATCTGTCCCATTGGGTGCTATGTGTCCATCTTTGCTACATGTATGGTGTTTGCACTGTGATCAGCTGGGGTTAACTGTGAATCATGAAAGCTCAAAACAAAAATAATTTAAACAAGAACACAGTATTACTCTCTGCCATGAAAGCACAGAGGGAGGCAGCTAGGGGCTGGTGCTTCAGCTGTGTTGTAAAGCCTTCCGGGACCCAGCTACCTTTGGGATTCCTACCTTGCATCCTAAGCCCTTCTGTTCAGGATCAAGGATGCAGCTCCAGCTATCATATCAATGTTTGAAATGGTAAAATGGAGAATGGGAAAACAATGGGCAAGGAGCATTCATTAGCATCTCCTAGGTAGGATTCTTAGGCAACATGTGTTGCCTCTTACATCCTATTGATTAGAACTCAGTCCCTTCGAGACACTGAGAAATGCAGTTGGTCTTATTCTAAGTGTCTCCGTGTCCAGACGGGGGAAGGGAAGAGTTCTTGATACACAGCAGGCAGCTCTGCACTAGACTCTACTCAGACAGTACATGTAATGAAAACACTATGTTACTCATTCCGCCTCAGCTTCCTCCTAGACTGAAAGCTCCGAGTGACAGTTACAAACCTGCGGTGCGTGAGCTTGTGTTACTCCCGTGCGATACTGAGAGGGCCTCTCAGAGAACAGGTGCTGAAGCTGCGTTTATTGAGTGTAGGAATGAAGGAATCACCAACATTTCTTAGAGAGTGGAAAATAGCCCTGTACAATTCTCTCATATCTAAAAAGCATTTTTCGCTAAAGTAATCATCAGGAAAACTTAAAGTTTTCAGGAAGTTAAAACAGAAGTTAGGTGTCTATTCATTCATAACTAATTTTAGTACTTCTCTGTCTACTCCCGTAAGTCTGAATTTACGATCTCTGACAAGTTGCTTAAGCATTTGGAGTTTCTTCTGGCTCCTCCTTTTAACATAATGACGGGGCTAAAACAGTAACAGTTACTACTATTATTGTCACTTTTTAAGCGATTTACAAGGCATCTTACTTCTCCAATGTACTTCTTTTTCCGGGTAGCCATGGTTTTACTTTCCTTAACTTTGTTCTAGCTGCTTTTTATTTTCTTTGCCCTAGTCTGTTGTTGATAAGGTTTTTGTGATTTTGGACATCATTTTATTAACCTAAAACATGTACCTGCTTCACAACCTTTTCTTGAATATCATCCAGATAGTATAGGGAAATAGGACATGGGGAGAGCATTATTAGGTCTGGTACCCATGATGACTTGTGTAGCTTGCAGACTATCGGTATATTCTTGAGACATGTTGATCTAATGTTCATTTAATCCTGTGCTACTATTCTGTCACTTTCTTTACATTCTTTTTCCACTTACACATAGTTCTGGCCAGTGATTAGTACTCAGTTTGGCTAAATTATTCTCAAGCTAAAATAAATAGCAAAGAAAGGGACTAAGCTATCATGGCCAAGAATGAGGCCCAGACTTTCGGAGTCTTTGTGGAATCCTTGGTGCCCAAGAAGACAGTAGGAAAACCACTCAAGCGTGTTCAGTGCAAAGGACAGAAGTAAGCACAACACTGAAAATTTTTTTTCTCTTTTCTCTTTTTTATTTGAAAGAGAATTTTTAAATAACAACAACATAGACAAAACAAAGCAAAGCAAAAACAATAAAAATGACACAAGGTTTCAGAACAAAATGATAAGAATTCACAGTGGTTGTTGTATTACATATTGTTATCTTCATTGAAGTTGCTCAGATTGCCAGGTGTAAGAATGCAAGATTGATCAAACCATTAAAGAGAATAAAAAATAATTAAAAAAAAAATTAGAAACAATACAGAGCTTCACCAAACAAGACGGTAGGAATTCACCAGTGGTTGTTCTATTGCATATTGTTGTCTTCAAATTAGTTGTTCAGATTACCAGATACAAGCATGCAAGATTAGAAGGCAAAACAAGTGGACATTTTTCCTGAGTCACAGATTTTTAAGTATCCGCTGCTACAAGTCTTTTCTTTTTTTTTTGGTTTTTTTTTGGTTTTGGTTTTTCTCCGGTACCGGGAACCGAACTCACGACCTTGCGCTTGCCAGGCAGGCACTTTTGCCGCTGAGCTAAATCCCCAGCCCCTACAAGTCTTTTCTAGTTCTTCAGTTAGTGATATTACAGTTAAGATGCGCATATCCTTCTCTTGGAGCAGCTGCCATTACCTTACTGCCAAACTCACCCTGACCCTCAGGGAATGCAGGGAGTTTTCATATGAAAACACCCGTCCTAGCCTGTGTCCCCTCCCCAGAATGACACCGTGCCCTCTGCCATCAGCTTTATACTTGATGCCCAACTGGAAAGCAAGAGACCAAAAAAATGGCAAAAATATTGTCCATTTAAAAATGTGAAAAGAGGAATTTTTTGATTTAAAAACAATGTCGTAAAAGACATCAGAGCAGAAAGAAGAATGTAGCGATGAAACTGAACCGTAAAGAATACGACAAGGAGAGGGAGGCAAGAAAAAGGCAGGGAACAAGGAAAAAGACTCAACTAGAGAAAAGGGCTTAGTAAGGACTTTCTAGGCCTGCTTCCTAATTCCCTTGGTCACAGAATATGCACAGGGTTCTTTTATTGTGTAGCTATCCAGGAAATAAATAATTGAGGAAGTAAAGCACTAGACCTTGTAATCTACGAGAAAATAAGAATAGGGAGATAACCACATGAATTTCATACTAAATGACATTTTCGGTGGCACAGATTGACTCCCTTACCTGAAATGCTTGGGGCCAGAAGTGTGGTAGGTAGATTTTGGATTTTTTTATGTTGGAATATTTACATAAACATAATGTGATTTTGGGGGAGGGAACCCAAGTCTGAATACACAATTCATTTATGTTTAATATACACCTCACACACAGAGCCTGAAGGTACGTCATGCCTGCATTTCAACGGCAACTCACCATAGAAGGTGAGGTGTACGGTTCTCCCTCTGTGGCTTCATGTTAGCATTCAAATGTTTTAGATTTTGAATCTTTTCATATCTTCAGATTGTGCATTTCTAGGTCATAGATCCTTAACCTATAATAAGATTACTAATGAGTTTTTTGTTTTAGATAGTTGAAAAATTGTGAATCTTTGTCTTTTCAAAACATTTCAATTATAATACTACCAAAGTTGTAAATCATCAAATGTATTTAATGCTGCATGGTGGTACATGCCTGTAAGCCCAGCTGCCTGGGAGGCTGAGGCAGGAGGATAGACAGTTGCTTTGCCTAGGGAACTGAATGACTTAATGAGACCCTGTCTCAAAAATAAGTTTCATTTTGTTTTATTTTTTATTTTTTTGTTAAAGAGTGGGGATGTATCTCAGTGCCAGGCCCCTGCGTTCAATTCTCAGTACTGGGGTGGGGGACAGGGGCTGTGTTTTCCGACTAGGATATATTTTTTACTCTATAAATTAAGTTGATGTTTCTTTTTCATCATTTATTTAATTCTGCTTGCTCATGTTTTCTCATTCACAGAAGGAATTCATATCTGTTGTTTCCACAGGGAACGTGAAGCAAACAAAATCAATTACATGTATGCTCAGTACGTCAAAAACACTATGGAACCACTTAATATCCCAGATGTCAGCAAGGACAAACGGTTTCCCTGGACAGTAAGTAACCCAATTTTAGCCTTGGAGCTGAAAGGCTGTTTTCCCATCAGACCTGCACTTAGAACTGCTCCGCAGCTGAAGGACCAGCTCTAGAAATGCTGATTAGGGAGATCTGTACTTTCCTGATCTAACAAAGGGGAATAGAATAGTTCATAACACACTATTGCAAGCTACATTTGAGTATTTTTCTCTGTTCTTCTTCCAGTTTTTAAATATGTATCAATCAACGACTATATACCAATTGTGAGATAGTTTATTACCTACCAATGTCATTGGCAGTCCTTAAGTAGTATTGCTGCAGTTGTTTTTTTTTTTTTTTTTAATCTACAAAAATTAAGTTCTACTCGGTTTGAATTTACTTGTCTACCATAGTGAGCATCTCTGTGGGAAAATAAGCGTCTGTTTTCCTTCAGAGTGAAGCAATGAAGATCCCTTCCTCAGACCCCAAAAACATTGAATTCTAGCATCTTCCTTCATCTTATTTCAGAAAAGCGTTGTTCTTTGAAGCAGCTGTCTTGATTTTGCTACTTGCATATCAGGACACCTTTTTCAAAGTTTGCCAGTGTGGGCAGTAGACACAGTGGTGTTACCAAAGAAGGACTTGCTTGCTGTACCGTCTCCTAAGTGGCCCGATGCTTTTGGGTTCTGCCAATCTTGTTAAACAGAAGCATCTACCAGTAGAGTAGATACTGAATAACTATTTTCACGTAATAGTACTATAAGCTGCTTGGGAAGTTTCAGATGAAAAAGAAATGTCAAATATTATTTTTAACAAAGTAGACTGTTTCCTATTGTGCTTATGTGAACTAACTTATGATTTGGACATTTTCTGTACTTCTATTTTATATCTAGCTAGATGAATATATTGGTTTTGAGTGTGCCGTATAGTTAATATGGCATCTAGACAAATCAATCTCTATCATTTTAGCTGTTTTGTTTTGTTTCTGTTTTTGTTTAGAATGAAAACACAGGAAATGTAAATCAGCAGTGCATTAGAAGTTTGCTCTGTACACCTATAAAAAATGGAAAGAAGAATAAAGTCATAGGTAAAGCCTTTCCATTAACCTATACTCTGCACTTATTTAAAAACAATATATCCCCAGGTACTTCTTTCTTTCAAATGTAAATTTAAAGCATAAAATGTTTGAGAAAAATACAAATAGAATGATAAGGAATTTTGACCTAACTTTGTGCTGATAAAGGCTAGCTGCATATTTTGTGTATTTGTACTATGTATTTATGTAGTTACTATAATTGAGTTTCACAAGAATTTTGTAAAATTGCTATGTTGAAGCTGAGTAGATGAAGTGAGACACCAAGTTGATAATGTGCACTGCTTTGGAGTCCTACTTCCTGGTCTTTTACTCTTTTAAATACATGGCTTAGATTGTAGGTCACATTCATTTATTCATTCAGTAAATACTTATTGAGTACACTGCTTTAGGCACTTGGGATGCATCAGTAAGGAAAGCAGAAATCCCTTCCTTCAGGGTCCTACATTGTTATATACAAATTAGAGAAAAATGTTTGCTTCAGGAATGGTGGAATAATCCAGTTTCAAAAAATGGAGTGTTTACCATTAACAATATATTTGTAAGGCAGGAAATACAGGATTTTATATGTCAATCACCTATGATTGTACATAGATGATTGACATTGTGAAAATAAATCCGACCTGTTTATCTCCTCCCAAGAAACTGGAAAGTATAGGAAAGATAAGTCCCTTCTAAAGGTTAAATTTTGTCTGGACATGGTGGCATACAACTGTAGTCCCAGCACTCAAGAGGCTGAGACTGAAGGATCATGTCACATTCAAAGTCAGCCTGGGACACATAGCCAGTTTAAGCCTGGCCTGAACTACATAGCAAGACCCTGTCTCAAAAAAAAAAAAAAAAAAAAATTCCCTAATTATTAAATTCTAAAATTAAAGCCCTAATGGAGCAACACTTAGATATGTAAAATTACCTTTAAAGGTCTGAATAGTTTTCAGCTGAGAAGATTTGGCTGCTTTTACTAAAGAAGAGTATCAGATAGAGGAGAGGACAAGTGGTATCATTTGAGAAAACTTTTAAAAATGACAGATATTGAAAGTATTCACTCAGGTTCTGTCCGCAGGGGAGGAACCTTTTTTCCCCAACGTGGAGGTGAACACAGAGAGCTTTATCGATGTGCACTGCTTATTCCAGCCAGACAGCAAGCCATTACTTGGGTGCAGACAGATGCTGCAGGTTGTAGCCAGTGATTTCTCAATAGCCCCAATCCCTGTGCTGATGTACGTTCTTATTGAGATGGATACATCGGCTTAATGCCATTAAACATTCCATGAATCCACCCTCCCTTGTTCTCTTTCCAGGCGCACCAGTTTGACTTCCCTTGTTCTGTCTATTTTTCTTTCCAGTGAAGGGTAGCTCATAGGAAGAGAATATTATGCATATCCTCTCAAGTGTATTCTTGCTTAGACAGTTGTTTCCGATAATAAATTAGTGAACTGGACTTAATGCCTCGAGCTGCAGGTGCACATGCTCTTGTTCCTGGGATAACAAACAATTCTTGTACATTAGTACTATTCTGGTTTATAAATCAGTATTGTCAGCTCAGTTCCCGTCAGTCCCCGGAGAGGTGAATCTGTCCTCAGTGTAGCAATCTTGTTTCTTAGTCCATACACCTAGTGACTTGGTATGCAACCCCTTTTAATGCTTGCAGGCCAACTTTCCAGGACTATGTGGTCAGCTGCGCAGCTCTATGGTGCCTAGACAAAAAAGTAAAGGCTAGTGAATATGTAAGCTCTCTTCTAAAGATTATCACCGATCAGCTCTCTGACATATGCAATAAAAAAAATGGTGCCTTCTGATATACCAAAGGAAAGTCTCATTATTTGTTATAAAATCTTATTTCCTAGGGGTCTCAGGACAAAACACATTATGCTATGTTTTTTAAAAAATGCTTTTTCATAGAAGTGTAAAAATTGATACAAGCTGACTTTGACCTTCAAAATAAAAATGTGAAGTTGACCTGCAGAAGAGATGTGATGTTCACTTGTAGCTTGTCAGAAGAAGGGAGACAGGATGGCAGCTTACTCCATCAGCTCACATCTCCACTTGTCCTCAGCACTCTCTTTTCAGAATAACAAGGTGCCGGGGAAAGTTACACACGGACTCTTCTATCACCGTATTTATGTGGTAAATGTGGGCAAGCTCAAGGAAGTTCAGAAAGCACTGGACTGGACGTAGCACTCCCAGCATGGTATTTCCTTTGCTCTTTAATTAGGTGCACAGATGCTGTGGGCGCAGTACCCTTCTCTGTGCAATTAATAACCCTTCAGATCTGTTCAGAGTTCGCATTCCATGAGCTTCCTACTGTTTCAAACAAATGAACAAAAAAATTTAAAAATAGCATTTGGAATAATCAGACTTCTCTTTGCATATATTTTTTGTGTCACTACTTGATAACAGAGCCAAATATTGTTTTTTGAGAGGACAAATTCCCTGAAGTTAAAAGACAGAAAAAACTGGTTTTCAGAATGCATTTGTGGGGCCAGGAGATGAGTTCAAGTTAGCCAATATCAGAGGGAAATTTTCCAGTGTTCCCTGCTGTTTTCTAAGTATGACAAAAGTAAGAATATGAATTCTGGGCTTTACTTACATACCCACAGATGCAGCACGGAAAATATTATGACTGTGGATAATTTGTCTTAGCGTATCAGAGGCCAGATTCCACTCCACTCTTATGTGATTCTAATAGAGAATCCCCATAGAATTACATGCAGAAAGACAGGCGAGCCCATGTGGTTTTTGTAATCTTCTTCCTTCCTCCTCATTTTTTTATTACTGACATTTAGATGAAATTATAGACATTAGACCATCACAGAGCCTGTTGTATCATCAGATTTATTCCCTGAGGTATGGTTTCACATTAACAAATGTTTTGTCAGTACTCTGGCTATTACAGTGTTTCCACTTTGCTTCCAGCACTATCAAGGAAAAACTCTTTTCATTAATATTCATTTACTTTAACCAATGATTTCCCCTATTTACTAGGCTAACAATGCCTTCTTCCTGTGTCATGTTTACCAGAAATTTTGATGCCTATTTTCCATACCAATTTCAGGCCATCTTTTGAAAAAATGAATCCCGTTTGCAGCACTCCTCCCCAAAAAGACCCCTAAAATATGTTAAGTACGTCTCCTCTTGAGTAGCTTGTATTTCTATTCCCTTGTTAGTAAAATAAGTATAATAAAAATAAAAATTGTGCACAGTGTTATGCTTGTTTGACAGAGAAGTGTAAGAGATGAATGCATCTTTGTTACTGAGTATGTTTTCTAACTGGTAACAGTGCTAATTCTATCTGACCTACACCATAAGCAGACTGTATTTTACAGTTCTACAGTGAATTTCATAACTCTGCTATACAGTCATGCACCGCATAATGTATTTCAGTCAACAGTGGACCACTTATGTAATGGTGGGCCCTTAAGATTATATTGCCTACCACCATTGTGACCATCTAAATCAGCTGAGGTGTATTCTCTGCTGGAATGCTTGATAATGCACACCTGAGACATGTTTTCCTGTCCTGAGTCGTAACTTGTTCTACTGGGCTATTAGCATTCCCCAAGCACCTGCATGATTCTGATGTTCCCAAACCACCTTATCTTAGTTCACTTCTGTCAATAAAATATGTAGACGTGCATGTCTACAGGATGTTTTCTGTAGGCCTCAACCTTTGAATTACTTTTCGCTTCATATCATCTTATCTTGCTCTGTGAGTTATTTTGGTTTTCTTGGAAAATTACTCAGGTGTGGACCTTTAGATAAGTGTTTGGAAAGGTAATCTACTCATCCATGTGTTGCAATATAACACCAAGGCATAAATAAACATTCTGTCATCTAAATTTGAATTTGACTTTTACAGCATTCTGTTCTTTATATAAAGTTTTTTTTCCCCACTGGCAAAATCTCTGTTTATGAGCCTATAAAATATTTGCTAAGATTTTCCCACTGGAAGTAAAATTAAATCATTCATTGCTTTCCATGGTGCACATTGCTTCTATGTCTTATAAAAGTATCCACACTTTTTTCTAGTTAAAGAATTGTAAATTATATTAGTTATAGTAAGAGCCAGGAAATAAAATTGTAGGGAGGAGTAATAATTGGAAGAAAACAAAACTAAGAAGTGATAGCCTAAATTCATGAAAGTGAAAATCTAAATAGTAAAAATAAAGTTTAGAGTTTCTTGAATTCCTTAAGTAAATGGAAAACTTCATAGTAGCAATAAAAAAACAAAGAAGCATGTCTACAGTGGACCAGGAACATTAGAAATGTTTGGAAAATATGCCATTTCTAAGAACATATCTGGCCAGGCGTGGTGGTTCATGCCTGTAATTCCAGCACTCAGGAGGCTGAGGAGGAAAGATCACTGCAAGTTCAAGGCCAGTGTGGACTACAAAGTGAGTTCAAGCCCAGCTTGGGTTGCATAGTGAAACCCTGTCTCAAAGAGACGAAAAAAAAAAAAAAAAAAAAAGAAAGAAAGAAAGAACATATCTGACACAAAATGAGCAAAACACAGGGATGACAGTGATTCGAGCAAATTAGAATTTCAAGTAAAAACAATATAAAGGGTGATTTTACCTTGATTAAAGTTAAGACTCACAGAGGAAGATGTAATTGTCATGAATTCTAATAAACTAACATTAACATATGAAAACCAAACCTTTTAAAAATTACAAGAAGTGGACAAAATTGTAGCTAGAGTCATAGTAGATGCTTTAGTGTACCTCTCAAAGTATTGCACTATAGTTGGAAAAAAGGAAATATTATTATTGATTAATATTGAGGATTGATTGGATTTATTTTCCATATGTAGATTGACCTTTATATTTCATAACGTTAATAATACAAATTATTTTCATATATCCATCAGAAATTAAAAACCACAGGTGACATGCATACACACAAAATCAATCATTTCTGAAAAGTAGACTTGACAGCCACTCTCATGGATTATAATGCATTAAAACTGGAAATATGTATGAAAAAAGGATTCATTGGAAGGAAAAAACTCACTGAAATCTGAAAAGCTTTCTCTTAAATGACAAAGAATCAAAAAGTCAAGAGTAAAATTTTACGAAAGTAATAGTTGCAGCATTATAACTTAAATTCCCAAAGCTCTACTCAGAGGGAAAATATATATCACTAAATATTTCATTATAATTAATCAAGAAATAATGAAATTATTTTAGCCAAGCTCTCAACTGAAGAAATTCCAAAAGCAGCACTTTCTGTTTTTTTTTTTTTTTTTTATGCTGCCTTTCCAAAATAAATAGGAAGAGGGAAGCATGAGAATTAAACTGAAAAAAAATACATTTTTGAAGTGAGAAAAGATAGTTAAGCAAGATATAATGACCAAATGCAACAATAATAAACTTCTAACAGATAATTAGGGTAAGAGTCAGGAACTGGAATAAGAGAGGGAGTATAACCACATATGAAGAAGACATTATAAAAGAATTTAGATAACACAGTGTACCAAGTAGGTGTAATACCTTTTGGTGAAATGGAGATATTTTATAAAAATTGATGATAACCAATATTAATTGGAGTCGAAAATACCTCATGCAAGTAATTGAGAAAGTTATATTAAAGTTGCTGTTAAAAACTTATTGCTCATAGGAAATTCTAACCAAAGCAGTGAGAGAAGATGAAATAAAAAGAGATGCAGAAAAGGAGGAGGCAAAATAAAATAACTTACAAATTATATTCTTATTAAACAGAGAACACCAAGAGAATTGGCAGAAATACTATTTAATAAGAGAGCACTTTTTAAAAGGCCTGGTTTTCAAATTATTAAGGAGAAATAACTTCAATGTTTATGTCAAGAAAATTTGTTAGAAAATAGTAATGTCCAAAAAATTCTATTCACCAAAGTAACAGGAAGTAAACTTGGCTAGAAATGTGTAACATCTATATGAGGAAACTTACACTTATACCAAATAACTTAAAAATCTTTAACAAGTCAAATAACATTTCCTGAATGACTAGAATCTATTTTCTAAGGCATCATCTCTCCCCAGACTAATGCCAATTTTAGGCGATGGGGGTGAGCTGATCAACTTTGGTAAACATTTACAACATTTACATCTAGAAGATGTAACAGGAATCAGTTGGTGGACATAGAATTGCTTTATCAGAAATTTAAATCATGTTGTGAAAGTAGCAATTAAAAAGACTGATATATATGCTAGAAAACATGGCAAGGCTGTTGGAAGAGAACAGAAAGTCGAAATGTGGACCCACATCTGGATATGTAATTGTGTTATTGTATATAATAGACTACATTTTATTACTTCCATTTTATGTATCTCCAACAGAAAAGATAAATTATGAAAACTATGGATTATAAATGATTTCCAAATATTAAAATGTGAGATCTCCAGTGCTGGAAAAAAAAATGTGAAAAAGTATATGTTTTGAATATTTTTAAATTTATGATTACAGTTATTAATTGGTTGTTGCTGAAGTTTTTTTATTTTGGGTCCTCTTATTAACCACTTTGTTTTTATATGTAAATGATTCAGATTTTTATGGCTTAAGAGTCAGTATAACATTTCACATTACCAGTTTTAATTTTCATTATTCATTCTTTCAGATCATTAGTGAAGTAGTTGTAGAAACATACCTATATGTGTACTCAAGCTTTCAATTTTCTCAAATGAAGAACCTCAGTTGTTTGCTATAAACCTTCATGACTTTCTTAACATGGGTATTTTTGCTTGATACAATTAGATTTTCTAAAGGATGCAGAAAAACCAGTGGGATTATCATGAGTGCTGTATAAATGTGGCTGTTCATTCCAGTTGCAAAGGAGAATTAAATGATTTGCTTAGATGGGAGATTTGCTTCAGCACCCTTTGCTTGCCCATAACACGACACATTTTAGCTGTTCTGCTCTGAGCCGTGGTTACAGCAGACTTCCAACACTTGTACACTTAATACTCCATTCCAGTGATTTCTGAGCAGTTCCAGAGATATAATTTACTATTTCTTAATTTATTATTCAGTGAATTTTGGCTGAGGAAGATTTGAACCACTGTGCTGGAGACTTACTTAGCAAGGCCATGAGCCTAGCAGACTGCCTAATGCCCACATCTCAGTACCCCTTTGTTGTACTTTCCTTGCTGTAACTCTTTCTAATAAAAGAAACATCTTATTTATAAAAGAAGGGTCACGGTCTAGAAGATAACTGTAATCAAAATTGAAAGGCAGTTCCTCTCTGATGTAAGGATAAGGGCATGAAGTGCATGACTCTCAAGAAAATGTGATCTGGGGAAGGGCCAGAGCTGTCCTATAGAACCAGCTCCGTGTTTATCATATGGGAATTCACAAAGGTTAGAGGACATGGCTCTTATGTTTTTACCATAGATGGGATGTGTGTCTTCAAGATAATGAATGCTGACTGCAGTTTCCTGTGTGGTTTTTACTTCCATGTCCAAATTCATTGTCTTGTTTGAAAGTTTCTGTGATAATGAGACAGTGTTAGAGAAATAGTCCCTGCAGCACCAGTGCAATAGAATAGCCTGCAGTTGTCTTAAACAAGTAAAAAAGAATGAAAAAAGGAGAGTCCAGATCATTCACAGCATTAAAAATGAAGAAAATGTACAGCATTGGTGATAAAGGAAATTAATTTGTAACCATCTTTCCTCAGACTCTATGAAATGCTTTTGTGCTCCAGGAAAAAAAATAAGGGATAATAGGCTGTAATCTTCCTGGGAAAGTAATTTGGGTCAGAGCTGCAGTCTTGCACTTTTTCATTAATTCAGCTTTTTCTTTTTTCTTTTTTCTTTTTTTTGAATTACTGCTACCTGCTAGGCATTTTTCTAGCTGAGGAAATGGAACTGAAAAAGCCAAATAAATAGATTTCTAAGCCCATGATAGTGACAGCCCAAAAGGAGGAGAGATGTTTATCTACCATGGTGCACCAGGTGGTCATGTTAAGTGCAGAGAGAAGAGAAGGCAGAGGCCGCCAGCAGCTTTTTGTGAAGGAAGGTAGGGGTTAAGGAAAAGGCAGGCAGCAGGGCAGTGGGCAGCGGCACAGGCCTGTGGGAGAGGCCCAGCTGTGATAAAGCGAGATGCAGCGAGAGCCCTGCGGGCAGCTGTATGTGCGGAGGGAGAGCGCCTGTACGGCCAGCCTGTGCGGGGTGGAATCTGAAACCCACACACAACCTTTTTGAAAATCCAGTTTCCTCACTTGTAAAGTGGGGATGTTCACATCTACCTGCAGTGTGGGACCTATGGTAAAGGCCCATATATTCCAAGGCAGCACGATAAAGACTCTAGCAACGTATTTTACCAAAAGGTAGACTGCATGACCAGACTCCTTCCTCATGGAGGGACCACTAAGCTCAGAATCCCAGGAACAATCAGCTCAGAATGAGGATTTATTATAACACTGATGTAATCTTCCATTCTTACCCAACTGCACGCTTGATTTTCTAAAAGAGGTCAGGACTTGAAAGGTTATGACATTCTTTCAAGATTTGATCTGCTTTTGTTTCTGAATAGTCGTTTTTATTTGCATTTGTTTGCACTATCCAAAGTTGTCCACAAATGTGATTCATCTGAATGCCCAAGTGTATATTTGAAATTCACGATAACTGCCTATTGTCTGCATTCTATCTTGTATGTAATTGTATTTTTGTTGTTGTTTTAATGTCTGGTTTCTCAGTAAGGAAAGGCAATCTTTGTGACCCAAAATTCTTATGTGCATCAAAATTGTTCTCCTGGCAAGGGTACAAAAATTCAATTAGTTTCCAAAGGACAAATTGTCTTTGGGGACTCAACCGATCTAAAAGTCCAGAAGAAAATAGTACTCTAGGATTTTTTGAACACAGACAGTATACATCAAGGACTGTGTAAAACTAGTTCTCATGTAAATTAATTCAGTTTACTTTCCCAGTTTACATTTGTAGAGTGGTCCACTTGCTTATTTAGAGATGGCAGGCATTTCTAAAAGAAAAGTACAAGACAATCTTTGTGTGTAATAAAACCAATAAAAGCTGCGAAAATTCACAATAACGTTTGCTTAATCTCTTGGATTGTTACAGGGGTTTGCCAACTTGTTAATAAGATGGAGGAGAATTCTGGCAAAGTTAAGCCTTTCAACCGCAATGATGAACAGTTTCTTGAAGCTTTTGTCATCTTTTGTGGCTTGGGGATCCAGAACACGCAGATGTATGAAGCGGTGGAGAGGGCCATGGCCAAGCAGATGGTCACGTTAGAGGTGGGCTGACGTTTCTGGGCTCCCCCCCCCCCCGCCCATCTGCAGCCAGACGTTCAGCTTTTACTTCCTGTCCTAGCACTCATGGTATGGGTTGGTTCCAGCATCAGAGCCTCAACGCGACTTACATTAGGGAGATTTTTACCCTTTTTTAAGCAGCTAAGGAAACAAAGACACAGTATTTTAGGAGTTTGTCAAAGGTCATATGATAGGCCTGTCCCTTTGCTGTATTGTCTGAGTCTCCGCCTCTGCCTATGAGGACACTTATAAAAAAAAAAATTTTGAAAAAACAAAACGGCAGCAAACAAGAAAGGCCCCTAGGCAATCTTAGAGGATTAAAATAAGAAAAGGAAAAGAAAAGAAAAGCAGGAATAGTTTCTTTCTCTAGCTACAGACTTCTGGAACCCTATGTCTGACCATTCTGTTTCAGTAAGTCTTGTGGAGAGGCTGGGAATGTTGTTTGTCAAAATAGAACTTTACAGTGTTTATTTTTAAAAATCTGATAGGTATTTAAACTACAACCACTTCCTTAGCTGAAAAAGACTGTCTCAAATATTATCCTATTACTTAGAGTCAGTCACTTTTGAAAGTGGAAATGGTGATTCTCATGCTGTTAGAAGTAGTGAGCCTGACCGCTCACCTTCTGAGGGCAACGCTGAGTGTACAGGTTGGGGGGTTGACAGCCGGGCCCTGCAATTCCTTGCCACAGCTCTTATTAGGCATCAGCCTGCAGCTGAGTCATGACAGTCCCAGGGCCTCAGCGTCCTCAACTCTTAATGGGTGGCCAGACAGAGCAGCACTACTCTTCTGAGCTCCTGATTTGGATGAGTGTAAAGGGGTCCTACATCTGTGACATTATATCCCAGCCATGAAGTTCTTCTGTATGAATTCTCCTGTAGCCACTGGTTACAGGCCTCATCTGAGTGCCATTTCTAAACTGCTTTTAGAATCAATTTTAAAATGTCAGTTTATACAATAAGCCCCACACACACAAATTATGTATACAAGCAAAAATAAAGTCAGTGTTAAAAAAAGTCTTCCGAAATAAGTTGTAGGCCAAGTTTGAGCCAATAGTTATTTCTGGGGGGCTTATAAATACTGTGTTTGTTATATTAACAATGTCAGGATGAAAGTCATCAGAGAGTTCTTGGAAAGTAAGAAGTACAACTATTTTGTAAAGCAAGAGATAGAGTCTGAATGTGAGATTTTTACTGTTCACTCTGTTGCAAGCAGTGAAAAGATTTGACACTCTGAGGTGCCTGCTTCCCTCTCCAAGAAGGTTGAGCAGAATTCTAAGCTTGAAATTCTAGTCCACGTCTGCTCATCCCCTCTTGTGTAACCTGGACCTCTCCTCATCTTACCCCATAGGTTCTGTCCTACCATGCTTCAGCAGCAGAGGAAGAAACAAGAGAGCTCCAGGCATTAGCGGTAATTCTCTTCTTTCTTTTTAAAATGTACTAACCACAGCAGTATATGCTTAATACATAAATATGCTTTCCTCAGGATTCCTGTTTCCCTAGATACTTAATCAAATGTGGTAAATATTTACGTGGACATTCACAAAAATACTTAATCAACTCTTTTCTTGTGCGGGTACAAAGTTACTGCTAGTACAAAATAACAAGTAACAATACATTGACCCTGTACTGTATTATATTATTTTGATCTTTTTCCCAGTAATTGTTATAATCTTTACATCTTTCTAAGCCCAAAATTAAATTTAGTTTTCAGTTCCTGGGAAGAAGGAGCAAGTAATGACAACAAAGATTTTCTAGTTTATTACCAGTAACCAACTTCTTACAAGAGGTTGAGTGTGATTTTAATTTCTGACCATATGGCTTATGGTGTGCTATCTGAAACGGGGTCAAATAAGGTCAGTTAGTGAACTCTCATCCCATTGTTTCTTAGCATATGGTGACAGAAGAGCACACTGATAGGTAAGAAGAATTCTTGGCCTTGGTTGGGATTGCTTCAGTTGAGGTACATGAAAATTTGAGATGTGTATGATGCTGCAGTGCCTTGATTTTAAATTTCCTTGAGAAGGTATGATAAGGTCTATGCAAAGAATGGAAAGCATGAACATAAGGAGATTTTTTCATTGTAATTGTCATCCCAGCTTGCCAAATGCTAATGCTTTGGTGGCCTTACATACATTTTCTCATGTAAACTGCACATTTATATCATGAAGACCTGCTGATGCCTAAAGAAGCCAGGGGAGTTGTGCAAGGTCACACAGCCATGCAGGATACTGTACAAGCTTACACTGCACTGCACAGTGCTGAGACAGCGAGAAATAGTATGTATACGAGGACTTGGAGACATTCTCAATTGAACTGGAGAGTAGAAAAATGAGTCATTTAACAGGAACAGTGCAAGGATCTTCAGGTGATCTTATATGAAAAGTTACACATATTTCAAGGTTGGCTTCATATAGAAGCCATATTTATGGGGCTGGGGATTTAGCTCAGCGGCACAGCACCTGCCTGGCAAGCACAAGGTCGTGAGTTTGATTCCCAGTACCAGAAAAAAAAAAAAACAAAAAAAAAGAAGCCATATTTATCATATGTGCTCACAATAGTATCTGAAACAATGCATGATTTTTCAATTGTTTACAAAGGCATTTAACTTTAACCTATCATTCACTTAGAATTAATTGGCCCATTTGTCTATTCCTTCCGTAGGTGTATAGTTTTCAACTAATGTGTCCTGTGAGTTGGAAAGTAGCCCTTGGAAAGATACATATTGAAGTGCTGCCGCAGGCACCACAGGCTTATTAAGTTATTGCTCAAAAGCAGGCAAGGTCACACTCTGCCATGTGGTGTTTTAGATAAATAAAAACTAGCAAATAGAGTAATTTCTAAAGATAATGCTTTAAAAACCACTAGTATTTTTAATTTTGTTTTTCCCTCTGAAAATACTAGTGTAGTCTTTCACAAAAATCTGAAAATTATTTTCTCTATTGTGTTTATAATTTTAGCAACAGAAAAACACTCTGGGATAACTGAAAACTGCTATACTGCATATTGTTCAGAACCATCTGTTGTTCCATTTGGAAAATAGATTTCTGGCAGCTGCATTGAGAAGCTCAGGGTCACATAGCTTGTGGGTCAAGTAATTCATGAAAATTGGTTGAAATTCAGCAACTGATTTCAATCCTCATTTTCTGTCAACTGAATAAAAATTCTTTTAACAGCCTCAACAGCGCAAGTGTCTGCATCGTATAGCAATTACCGAAATTGCTGTCATGTGTCTGATCAATTATCTCTATTTAAAACTTAAATTGAAAATCTATCAAATGCTTTCCTTTTATTTTTGAAAATTCATAAGAGAATTAAATAATGTACTGACATATATTTCTGCCTGTGTCCACAAAAGCTCTCTAGTTACAAAAAAGTAATTACTTCAGCATCCTTACTTTCCCTCAGCATTACTTCAGTTTTTCCATCTCATTTTTAATCTAACCTTTTCTTCACTTGAAAGTGGGTATCAAAGAAATAGGGTCTTAAACTGAGCACTTTGCCATGTGCCGTGATCCTTAGACACAAGCTGTGGAGATAACAGAAAAAGAACCCCAGCTGACCTGGTTATGATTATTAGAAAGTTCATATATCAAAATATGACAAACATTTACTATCCAAGTGATAGAAGTGAAAACATGTTTGATTGGCTAATTGCCTGCTCCAATCTCTCCTCTTGTTGGAGAGCAGAAAGTCTAGGATATATGAAAGTACATACGCTTCTCAATGTTGCTATTGAGTCAGGCTTAGGCAGTTCAGTCCTTAAAGCTCTCCCACAGTGTCCTGGCAGTATAGTTGGAAGCGGACAGACACTTTTATGATCCTGAGGAGCCTCTTGCACAAAAACTAGCAAAGGGAAGAAGCTGACCACTTAAGGAGAATTTCTAGGACAGAATCTGTCTCATCTTGACCTTACCCTTTCAGGACCAGGCTTGATCATACGCATGCGCAGTTGCTGCAGGTGGGAAGCAGCTGTTAGAGGTCACAGATGCCGGAGGCAGAGCCCGGATCTGACCCAAATCTCTGCTGCCCAAGTCAGTGTTAGCGTACAGACCAGGTCCCCCATGGCAAGGTAGTCATCACTGTCCCTTCCTTGTTAACAAATCTATATAGAGAGCTAAATTATAAACTGAAAACATTTTGAGCAGATGATTTAAGAATTTATCCTGTGTTCGGTGTCACTGAACCATAGTAACCTATGACATCCAGTAGGACTCTGAAGCAACCCTTCGGATTTCCCGTGTGCTGTCAATGGAGACTCATTTTTATGGAGGTCCATAGCATTAGCTGGGTTATATCTTTTTCATATTGGCATAACTTACAAGATTCTCCATTTGGTTCTTCCCACTTTCGTTTGACAGATTAATCTTACCTGTGTTGCTTTGATTTCACTAGTAGAAGACTTCCAGGAGTTATTTTACCTCCAAAGTGTGGAAGCACTCTTCTTGAGCTTTTTATATACAACTTTTGTGTGTATTTCTAAACACTATAATTTTCCTATCAGTTCTACATGCAGCTAGGTAACCAAGATCTGCATGTATTAGTCACAATTGTCATACACTGGCTTGGAAATTGTACTTATAAACATGTTCATTATCTTAAATTCTTTTAAAATTATTTCTTATTTATTAATACATATTTTTAGTATGTAATGTTTACACCCCTTCTGGGGAGTTGGTACATGTACATAAGACATCTTAATTTCTTTTTTATCCCTGTCTCTCCCTTCTCTTCCTCCTTTACTGTCTCTTGATCCCCTTCCTTCTTGTTCTTGATACATATTTGCCATATATAATGCTTGCACTCCTTGTGTGGAGCTCGTACATAACACATCTTAATTCCTTTTATCATTCCCTATCTCCCTTCCCTCCATCTTGATCCCCTCAAATTACTGACATTATTACATGTCTTCCGTATATGATTTTGAAAAACTATAAGCTCATTGTCCAAGATTTTTATGGTCTGTGCTTCTTTCCTGCTGAGATTTGAGGTGATCCACTTATATATGGTCAGAAAGAAAGGTCATATTACGTAATGATCCAGTTATTAAAGAAGGTGAGTCCAGTCTCTGTATGCATCAGTCACTTTACTGTGTGTAGATTTGGTTCCACACTCTGCGATTCATACTCACGTCCCTTTTAATTTACATATACTTCTTTCTCATCTACATTTGAATTCTCTTCCCTCTTAGAGAAAGAAAAAGTCTAATAGCTTATGATTTTTTTTCTTTAAAACTCCACTTTTGGAGCATTTGAACAGTGGAGAAAAGAGACAATAGCCCTCTTTAGTGTCCAGTGTGGTAGCAGAGACAGTGGATTTATTTGAAGGCAGGAATTGAGCTGCTGTCCGTGGACGTGGAAGAGGCCCCAGGAGGATCATGGTTAGGGCTAACACAGAGGTCAGGCACCTGGGAGGAGAGCTCACCACGCACCACCAATTCAACCTATCGAATAGCTTGTATTAATTTTACCCTTGAAAAAATTTTTTCTAAAAAAAAAAAAAAAACTATTGAGAGTGAAATGTCTGTTCTTCTTGACCTTTACATTGGACAAATATCAAGGAATAATGAAACAAAACGCCTTTGTAAATCACTGAAACTAATTGGAAGAATTTGACATTTTATGCAAGAGAAAGTTCTGTAGCTGCCTTCTTTTCAGACTTATTTTAATAAATAACTTTGTGAATAAGGAGCCTTTTCTTAGCAATTGTCTATGAAAGGTTGTTTCCATGTTTTTATTTTGCCTCGTGAGATCTGATACCTCAGACCGAAGGCAGGCAAAATGCCCCTGATAGCAGTATGACCTTTTTTGTGTGGAGAATACACGAATGCGCAAATTCTGTCGCCAGGGGACCCATGTCATTATGTCCTGCTGAGGTTACTAGAGACTTTGCCACAGGCTAAATATAAGCCTTTTTCATGAGGCATCTACCAAAAATAAGAAACTCAATAATTTTCAAAATATCATTATATTTACTTTACTCAAGTATATTATTTTCCATGAATACATGTCTTGTGGGCTTCAAGGAGACCATCCACTATATATTGTTTCCTTAAAAGTTTTATTTTTCTACTGACTAAATGAAAAGGCTCCCTCCTTACTCGTACAAAGGGGCTACAGTATGGCCCTTCTATTGTGAGTGTGAGTGGCCTACATAATGAGAAGTAGTTGAGGAGAAGGGCTATCATTTGTCCTGAGGGGTAGACAAAGCTCAGGAAAATTCTCCTTGACTAAAAGGGCAGTGAAATGTGGACTTAACTTTAGCTTCATTGCTGTGTTGTTAGGGACCATTTGGGTACCTGCTACAGCTTTCTACTACTACGGCACTTAAAACACTGTGTATCTCTGTTAGATATGTATGTCTTATCTTCTCCCTTGGACTGTCAGTTCTTGAGTCATAATAATAAATAAT